TGGCTGGCTCTCACCTCCAGGGATGTCCATGCAGACGTGGCCGCAGCCGATGCTGGTGCACCGCTGTCCCCGGAGACATTGTGAGTCGACCTTGCACTCCTCCATGCACTTGCCATCAGCGCTGTCCTGGCTCTCTGCAGGGGCACGGACATCCACTGTCACCTGGCCGCCCTCAGGGGGCTGGAGCCAGCTCCCCCCGAACAGGCTGTGCCTGCTACCTCTGGGCACGGCCACGCACTCCCAGCCGCAGCCCGTGTCGCAGCACTTCTCCCCTCGCCGGCAGACACTGTCATCCAGGCACTGGCTCCCGCGCCGGCGCCGGGGGTCCCAGCATGGCTCTGGCCGGGGACACTCCCCAGGGTGCTCTATCGGAGGAGGGGACGTGGGTGAGGGCGGGGGTCCCAGCCCTGCTCTCACTTCACTGTCCCGTGCTGGTGGCCGGGCTGCCGCGCTCACCTCGGGCAGGGCGGGTGCAGCACATGGCGCAGCCAGAGAAGCAGCACTTCTCCTGCCGGGGACAGTCCCTGTCGTGGGTGCAGGAGTCCTGCTCCGAGCACGGCTCAGAAATCTTCTGTGGCCTCACCTTTGGGCACTTGCCAGGTTTGTCTAAGATGGGAAGGAAGGGGCAGCAGGGGCAGGGACCACACTGTGCTGTGGGCACCCCCTTTTTCTGCAGCCTCGGGGCACCCTGAAGGCTGCACCCTGGGGGTCTGAGCAGCTGCCCTATGGCAGCACCATCCCACATCCTTCCCCCAGGAGCTTTGACATGCCTGGTGTGTGGCAACCCTGTCCTGGTAATCCTTTCCTCACCTGGTTCGGGGGCCAAGCACACAGGGCCACATCTGCTGCTGCTGCAGCACTTCTCAGCCCCCGGGCACTGCCAGTCCCGGGTGCAAGTGGTGCCACACGGGGATGTGGCCAGCGGAGCCTCCTCAGCCAGCGGGCAGATGCTTGGTTTTTCTAGGGGCAGGAGGCAGCAGGGCTGGGTGTGCGAACAGCAGCAGTGGGTCTTTCCAACCCAGTCCCCCAGTCCCTGGAGCTGGGGGACACCCCTGCCTGTGTCTGGCACCTTGGGCTGGGGGCAGGCAGATATAGTCGCAGCCACTCAGGCAGCACTTCTCCTTGCCGGGGCACTCGTCATCGTGCCAGCACCAGGCTCTGCAGTCATAACTGGGGAACAGCCCAGCATAGGCCGGGCAGAATCCGTCCTTCCCTGTGGACATGGCATGGGATGGCTGCAGTGCCACTCTTTAGAGGCACAGCCACGGGGACCAGGGCGCGTGGGGTTGTTGAACCTCTGGGGCAGCTCCTGGCCCCCTCACCTTGGCCACGTGCTGGGCACCGCTGGCTGCACATCTGGTGACAGCACACGTGGGATGGGGGACAGTCCTGGTCCTGGAGGCACCCCCACTGGTGGGGCAGTGGCCGTTGGGTGGCTGGGGCAGGGCTGGTGTCCTCTGCACCGTGGACCAGGCGAGAGTGGGATGGTGGCCTTGCCAGAGGGTGACCTCACCATCCTCTCTCCCCTCCAGCACCCACCTGGGAGCTGCACAGTGAGTCCCCACCCCAGACCTGGCAGAGCCCACCTGGTGAGCATGAGGCGAGGAGTCCCTGTTGTGCCACAGCTCTGTGGCCCCATGGCATCATCCCTGACCTCTGAGCCATGTCCCCGCCCGCACTGCCCGTCCTGTCCCATCCTGCCTCACCGGCTGACGCTCCCGGCAGGCACTGGTGGCCACAGCTGCTGTTGCAGCATTTCTGCACATCGGGGCAGTCGCCATCGCCTCGGCACCGCTCCTGGAATGGTGTTGGCTGCACCACGGGGCCCTCCGTGGGCTTGGGCTGGTCTGGCAGGGCAGAGCGGGTGCAAGGCTTCAGCCACCCTGCCCACCCCGGGGGTCCCCAGCCCTCGCTGTGGTCCACACACGCCTGGTGTCTGAGGCCACGTCCTGGCGTTTGGTTTTCCCGGGAGCTGCTGGTGAGGGGAAGCTGTGTATGCTGCCCCAGAGGTCAGGGCAGCAGGGAGGTGGTAGATGTCTGTGGCACAGAGAGTCCCCGTGCTGAGCCAGGGCTCCCAGCTCTCCCTGCCAAGTCTGTACCTGGTGCCGGCTCCAGGCAGGCAGAGCCACAGCCCAGCGGGCAGCACTTCTGCATTCCCAGGCAGTCCTTGTCCTCCAGGCAGGGGAAGGAGCAGGGGGCAATGAGCCCCGCGGGGGCTGCTGCCCTGCAGGCACCGGGCTTCTCTGCAGCGCCGAGGGGCCGAAAGGTGAGGCTGCACCGCAGTGTCCTAGGGCAGCACCAGGAAACCTGCCCCTGCCAGACCCTTGTGCCAGACCCTGCTTGTCCCTGGCTGGACCCCACCATGCACCCCATCCCAGACCCCTCCATGCCTTAGGAGCTGTGGTCACAGGGCTGCCAGCAGTGCACAGAGAGCTGTTCTGTAGCAATGGGAATGGCACAGGGATGGGGACAGGGATGGGGGAGAAGGATGCCAGCTGCCCTGGGACAGAGGTGGTGCTGTACCTTCTGCTGGGGGGATGCAGCGCAGCTGGCACTCCCAGGGGCAGCACTTGAGCCCAGCGGGGCAGCTGGAGTCGTTGGCACAGAGCGGGGGCTCCTGGCGCAGGCAGCGTGTGAAGTCCCGTGGGCACCTTCCTGGTTTTAGGGGATCCCCTGAAGAGGGATGGCAACGTCAGGGCAGTGCCAGCACCAGAGCCCCTCATCCACCATCTTTGGGGAGTGGGGCATGGGTCCCTATGCAGGGGCCAGAGAACTGGAGTGGGGATCACAGCCCGGGGGGCTGGAGACTCTGCTGCAGCATGGCCCAGGGCTGCTGGACCCCCACATCGAGACCTGCATGGCACAGCACGGGGCTGTGTGTGCCCTCGCAAGGCAGCAAGTGCCACGAGGATTGCCACTGGCCCTGCGAGGGCACACCAGCCGGGGGTCACGACCTATCCCTGAGCATCCTGCTGCCCCGGGCACCTTCAACTGCAAGGAGCACACCCCATGCCACTGCTGCCTCCTCCTCTTCCTCGTCCTCCTCTTGGCACCCTGTGCTCATCTCGGCCGTGCTGGGAAAATCAGGACAGCCCTGCCTCTGCCACAGGTGAGCTCCGGCTGGTGCCTGTGCCCAGCTCCTGCCACCAGCCGGGGATGCGGTGGGAGCAGCCGCTCTGTCAACATCCCGGCCGGGTGCGTCAGGGCCGCGTGTTTGGGCTGCAAACAGACGCTGACGGAGTTTCACTGCAAACAGCAGCTGTTTGGCTCAAACAAAGAGGCACCGGCCATTGTCTCCGGGTGGGCAGAGCCACGCTGCAGCTGGGCACCACCGCCCCTGGCATCATCCTGCTGCAGGGGGCCAGCATGGGGTGGGGGGGTCTGCACCCAGAATGTAGAAGACACCCTGCCACATGCAGCACCCCTGAGAGCTGATGGTTGCTGTTTGTGTAGGGTGCAGGGGGGGCACATGGGGGTGCAGGGGGTGCACACATGTCCCCGGGGTCCCCCAGGCAGCCGGGCAGCAGAGCAGGTGCTGCAGCCAGCTGGGACATGGTCCCTGCCAGCACGTACTGGGCAGGGACAGAGGAGACACGACAGTGACAAGGGGGACCAGGGTGCAAGGAGCTGCCCCCAGGCTGCCCGTGCCTGGCAGCTGCCAGGTTTGCTACCCGGTACTCACCGCCCTTCTCCTCTGGTGTCACGCTTGACTCTGCCCTGAGGATGAGGAGCCCCAGGAGGAGGAAAACTCCCAGGCTCATGGTGCTGGCCAGGGACGTTGTGAGTGTCTGGAGCTGAGCCGGGGCTTGGTTTACAGTCAGTGGCAGGAGTACCTGAGGTGCCAGGGCAGCCGAAGTTGGGCTGCTGGCTGTGGCATCTGGCTGTGCCGCGGGCAGGAGGAGCAGGAGGAGCAGGAGGAGGGGCAGTTCCCAGAACCCACCGGCGCCCTGCCAGCCATCCTGCTTATCTCTGGCCGAGCCCTGCTTTGGGGTCAGGGCGACCCATGGGGCTGGGGAGGGCAGCTGGGGTCAGGCACTGCTGTCCCCCATGGTGCACAGCCCCATCCCTGCCACACCTGGCTGCCACCCCCTCCCTGGGTTTCCCTCCAGCCCTGCTTGCCCTTCGCCTCCCTGGAGTGGGGGCTGTGGATAGATCCCACGGGTTGGCCCTGGCACGGCAGTAGGAGCAGCCTGAGGATTTGTGCCAGCTCTGCTGCCATGGTGCTGTCCCCCAGCCAGGTGTAGCCTCTGTGCATGGGACTGCTTGGGATCCAGCACCATGAGTAAGCAGGTCCTGCCGTGTCCCCTTGCAGGTCGGTGCTGCTCCCTGCCCCCTTCTCTGTCCGGGTGCTCCATCTGTCCTGACCCGTGACTGCTTTTCCCACCAGGTTTTCACACTTTGGGATGCAAATGAGCCCTTCCTTGGTGCAAGGAATCCGAGGGAACTGGTTCTCCAGTCCATGACTGCTGAGGGGACATCGAGCAGCCCCTGGGCCCTGCAGGATGATCACCATGGGGTGATGATGGCTGGAGGTCACCCATGTGGAACTGGGACCCTCTCCCTGCCCCAGGGCAGTGTCTGCCTGCAGGGACGGCTGCCTGGCGCCTGCCTGCACCTCTCTGCCTGCACATGGCTGCCGGCACCTCTGGGAACCAGAGCAGGGAACAGGGATGGTGACCCAGAGCAGAGGTGGATATGGGATGGTTTATTCTCTCTCAGTGCTGTGGAACAGCTGAGGCCAAAGGGGATTGCCTTGTTCTGGGCTGCCAGGAGCCTTGGCCATGGGGTGGTGTGAGTGTTGTGCAGCCCTTGATGGCACAGCTGGGAGCAGCTGGGGGTGCCAGTTACCCCAACCAGAGCCATCACTCAATGCTGGTGCCATCCTGCCGGGAGTGCAGAGGGTCCAGCACAGGGACAGGCGCGGGGGCAGCAGCACCTCTGCTCACACCAGTGGTGCAATGGCAGTGGGGTGTGGGGTGACCCCAAAAAGGCAGCTCCTGGTGCAGCTCTTCCTGGCCAGGGCTAGGCTGTGCCTGGAGGAGACAGGTGAGGGGGTCAGTGAGGATGGGTGCTCCCTCTCTGAGGGATGGGGGGTCCTGGGGTGCTCCCACCCTGGGCCCCCTTAGTCCCCTCCAGGCTGTACCTGAGGGGCAGCAGGCTGGGGGTGAACGTACCCCACAGCGGGGGGACACAGACCCGGCTGCAGCCCTGCTGGCAGCACTTCTGGCCAGTGGGACAATCCTTGTCCTGCAGGCACAGGAGGAGGCACTTGTCTGCCCGGTTACCATCCGCTGCAGGGGGACAGAGCCCTGGCCACACTGGCACATATGAGAGAGGGAAGGGTGAGGGGTTCGGGGCACCCCTCCAGCATGGAGGAGCTGCCCTACCTGCAGCGGTGAGCTCCTCACCCAGTTCCTCCCCCATCAGACACCAGCTCAGTCCCCACCCTCCCATTGCCCCCGAGGGAGGGCCACGGTAACAAGGTGTGGAGGCGGCACGGGGGTCTTGGCCGATGGCTTACCCTCGGTGGGTGGTTTGCAGACGTGCCCACAGCCGGTGGTGCAGCACTTGTCATCCCCAAGGCAGTCACCGTCGGTGTCACACAGCTCCAGGCAGGGCCCCAGGGAGCCCCGCAGCACCATGGGGCACACGCCAGGCTTCGCCGAGGCATGGTGGCTCCCTGGTGACAGCAGGGATCGTGGCTGTGCTGGAATTCTGTGTCCCCCAGCCCTGCTCCTGGCACGGACTTGGTCTCCATCCTGTTTTCCTCTCCATCCTCCTTTGCAGAGCCCTGTGCTGCTCTCAGTTGCCAGCCTCACACCCACACCAGTCTGACCCAGTGAGACCAGTCACAGCCCAACATGGGATGCCAGCTGATAAGTGGAGTGGTGAGGGACAACCCTGGCTGTGGTCCCACCAGCAGGCAGTCTGAGGAGGGTGCAGGAGGTGGGTGCAGGAGGGGGTTCAGCCCTGTGCATGTTTGGGACCATCACCCACTGATGATAGAGGAGCCGTGTGTGGGGATCCTGAGGGCCAGCTCTTGCCCAGGGGCTCAGGAGGGCCTGGGCCAGAGCCAGGGCGGGTGTGTGGCACCAGGAGCCACAGCCGGTGGCACACGCTCCCTGGGGCCTGGAGGGCTGCCACCAGCTGCACACTCGGCTGGGCACAGCTGCTGCGGCTTGTCCGGCAGCACGGCCTGGCACACGCCAGGCTCCGCAGGGGAGGGAGAGCTGTGCTACCCCAAGTGCAGTGGTGGGCTGGACATGGGGCTCAGGGAGGGCTGGCGGGGCTGTACCTGTGTCCGGAGGGGCACAGGCCAGCCCACAGCCGGAGAAGCAGCACTTGTGGTCCCCAGGGCAGTCCCGGTCATCAGTGCAGCGGTTGGGGCAGGCGGCAGCGCTCCTCTGGGCACGCTTCCGTGGGCAGAACCCGGGTTTGGCTGGAGGGAGGGTTGAGGCTCAGCATGCAGCCAGTCTGGCCCCACAGTGCCCACAGATCCCCTACAGTGTGATGGGGGCTGCGGACCCCTGGGTCTGTCCTGGGGCATCCTCAGCCTGCCACGGGGACCCCCAGGCCACCTCACCTGTCTCGGCGTGCACGCAGCGGGTGCAGCAGCCGCGGGTGCAGCACTTCTCCCCGGAGTGGCAAGCGGTGTCGTTGTGGCAGCTCGCCCCGCAGCTCGGCCCGATGGCACTGCCGGCGCGGGGGCAGTAGCCTGGGCTCTCTGCAGAGGGAGATGCTCCATGTGGCCGTGTGCCAGGGACTGGGGCTCGTGCCAGGGGCACCAACACAGGCACCAGCCCCCACCCACATCCCACCCGCCAGCCAGCCCCTGTGCTGGCATCCCTTGGAGGGAGCAGGGGTACCTGTGGTGGGCAGGAGGCAGGTCCAGACCTGCCCGCTCTGGCAGCACTTCTCGGCACCGGGACAGCTGTGGTCGGAGAGGCAGTACAGCCCGGGGGGCCAAGGGGCTCCACTCACCCCCACCGGGCACTCACCCGCTTTGGGGGGGGCAGGTGGGGCAGTGGGTGTCCAGCGTCCCTGTGGGGCTGCGGTGAAGGTGGGAGCAGTGCCCTGGTCCCCACGGCCGTGCTGCTGGGCCAGGGCGAGCAGCGCCAGGAGCACCAGGAGGAAGCTGCGCTGGCCCAGCATCGCACTGCGATCACGCTGGGCTTCTGGGTGATGGGCTGGGATTTAAACACTGCTGGGGCGGGGTCTGGCCAAGCCAAGCTGTTCTTTCTCATGGCAGCAGGGTTTCAGGACTGTGGGAGTGCCAGGCATGAACAATTCTCTTTGGGGGAGTCTCCTGGGGCAGCGCTGGGCCCGTGGCTCACGGCTGACACATCCTCCAGAGAGCCCTTTCCAGGTCACCGGTGACCCGCAAGCAGGTGGGCCAGGGGCTGAGCAGCGCTCCCAGAGCCCCACCACTGTGAGCAGGGTTGGCACACAGGGGCAGTGTCCTGTCCCCAGTCTTCAGTGCCCACCGGGTCCCTCCTGGCACACATGGAGCAGGGAGAGTTGCTATGGAGCTGTGGTGCTGTGCTGGGTTGCACCAGCCTGCACCTGCATCATAGAGAGAGGGAGAACCAGCACTGGGCACTGGGCAGTGCTGGGCAGAGTGTGGGGCTTGTTCAACCCTGGGGACAGCTCTGGTCTGTCCTCTGTCAAGGGTGGGTGCTCTGGGGGTGCTGGCCCCTCCCAGGTAGGAGGGACACTTGCTCTGCTCCCAGGGGCTGGGAGTGGGAACAGGGTAGGAGCAGAAGGGACAGGGCCTTTGGAGCCCTATGAGGAGCTGGAGGTGCCAGGAAGAGCAGGATAGGAGCAGGAGCTTAGCCCTGAGCAGGTGGGGAGGGGCAGGCATGTGGCAGAGGTGCGTGGGCTGCACTGCCCAGAGCTCTTTTAGGTTTCTGCAGTGGGCAACTGCATGGGGCAAGGAGGGGTTTGGGTGATGCTCATGTGAGGGCACACGCTGCAGCCTGTTTGTCTCCTGGCCATTGCAGAGCAGGGAGCAGAGAGCACCTCTGCTCTGAGGGGACACAGCTGCACCCTGATGGCCCCGCTCTGAGCATGGCTGTGCAGAGGTGGAGGAGCCGGTGTGCCACGTCAGCCAGGGCCAAGGGCCCCTGGGACAGCCCCAGGCAAGGCACAGGCTGAGGACCCTGGGAGACACAACAGAGCCAGTTGATGCTGGTGTTTGTGTGGAGCCCTTCCAGGCATCTCCAGTGCGGGACGAAGAGGCAACCAAAGATGGTGGCCATGGAGTGGCAGGGAAAGTTGGCCATGGCGCAGGATGGAGAGGCAGCCGCGGCATGGCAGGGAGAAGCTGCTTTATTGGACAGAGTGCAGGGGGCTGTGGCATGCCCCGAGCAGGGGACCTTGGGGAGGAAGCTGAGGCTGAAGGCTCCAAGCCAGGGGGATGATGCGGGGCCACGGCCAGGGTGAGTGGGATGGGTGTTGGGCAGCAGCTTCCCCGTGGCTGGGCTGGCAGGAGGTGGCTGCACCTGCAAAGGAGCAGAGACCATGAGCAGGATGGGTGCACAGATGCGGCAGGATCCCTGGGGCTGGCATGCACCCAGCTGACCTCAGTGGATGGGCGTCACGCAGGAGACCTTGCCGCAGCCATTCCTGCAACACTTCTGGTTCCCGGAGCAGTTGGCGTCACTCTTGCACTGGTCGGTGCAGACACCCAGCATGGGGATGCCCGGGCTGACGGGCGGGCAGGTGCCAGGCTTTTCTGAAAGGCAAATGGACATGGCTGAGACCTGCTGGTCCTGGCATGGCGGGCAGGGCCCACCCTGCAGCTCATGGAGCTGCGGGCATGGCCCTGGCCCCTGCCTGCCATGGAGGAGGGACCACCATGGCTGCCGGCATTTCTCCCATCCCATGGCTTTGCCAGCTGGTGCTCCAGTCAGCTGGACTTGATGGGGACGTGTCAGGGAGACTGTGTGGCACAGTGGTCCCCAACGGTTCCTGTGCTCAGTGGTCTCGCTCAGGGACGCATGGCTGGCACAGGATACGCAGGTGTGCCATGCAGACCTGATGGTGGCCTTGCCCCTGCTGTCCCCCACAGCTGCCAGGGATGGCCCTGGCCCTGGCCATTTGTTCATGGCATGAGGGTTCAGCCCAGGCCTTGGCTGGGATCATGTGCCCCCAGGCAACCTGTGCCTGGCAGTGCGGGGCCCCTTCTCCGCTGTCCCACTGCCTGCCATCGGCACTGGACTCCAGCTCTGCACCCTGCTGCCCTCCACTGCAGCCAGGCCAGTGCTATCCTGCAGGCAGCCGTGGAGGTACTGGAGCCTCCGGATCACATCCACACGTCTGCAGCTGTGGATCCCAACTCCTGAGCCCATTTCCAGAGGCTGCTCTCCAGCAGGACTGGCATGGTAACTGTGCTCAGCTGGACGGCTGCAGGGCTGTGGCCAGTGCAAGAATGGGGATGATGCTATTGGGAGATTTCCCGGCGCAGGGTTGGAGCCAGGACAGTGCCCACATCCTGGGCTGGCAGCCGCCCACAAGGCTGAGCAGTCAACGAGTGCTGCGACAGGGAGTGGCGCAGACCCCCACCCTCTGCCCCGGCCCCAGCGTCATTCAGGATCATCCTCTCAGCCCCTGCATCGCTGAGAGGAGGAAGGGGAGAGTGTGGCCCAGCGGGAGCACACCCCGAGCCTGCTGGGCTCCCACACAGACCCTGGTCCCCCTGCTGCAGCTGGACCCGCATCGGGCGCCCAGGCCCGTGGCCACCACCGCACCCTGGAGCACCGGTGCTGCCAGCTGGGATGGGCTGGGATGGGCTGGGATGGGCTGTTGTGCTCCGAGCAGCACAGCCAGGAGCAGGAGGGAGCGTTACCGTCGGGCTTCTGGCAGGCCTTGCCACAGGCCGCCGGGCAGCACTTGAGGGTGCTCTCGCAGTCGCCATCGGACTGGCACCCCACCGTGCAGTTCACCGCATCCGTCGCCGGGTCCGGGCACACGCCGGCTTTTGCTGCAAGGCAAAGGTGGGGGCGTGGGCGCGCGCTGGGGCAGCTGGCCCCGGGCAGGGCGAGGGCTGCGTGCCGTGGCAGGAGATGCTGCCACCGGCCCCAGGGTTGAGTCCAGGGATGCTGCTGAGCTCGACTGCACCAGGCATGGGCTGGTGCTCACCCCGGCCCCCACCGCAGCTGCCCTGGGGCTGGGAGAGAGGGATGCTGGCTGCTCGCCGGACGTGCTGTGACGAGCCGTGCCGGGCCGTGCGCTCATACTCACTGGTGACATTCTGGGCGGATGCTGCCGGCAGCTCTGCCCAGAGAGCCAGGAGCCCCGCCAAGATGAGGACGCTGCGGGCCGTGGGCATGTTGCAGGAACCGGCTGCGCTGCGGCCGCCCGGCCGGCCTTTAAGCTCCTCTCCAGGTGGGGCTGGCGGGCTCGGCCTTCCGGGTGGTTCCCAAGGGCCGGGCAGGGCCAGGCTCCCCCTTCGCGCTTGCACAACCCGAGTATCAGGTATCTGCCGCTCCTGGCTGCCGACCAGGGAGGGGGAGCCTCGAGGAGACCGGGCGGCCATGCTGAGAACTCGCCCAGCAGGAATGGCAGCCAACCACCACCGGCTGCAGCCCCTGCACGCTGGACCCTAGACAGCTCCAGACTGATCCCACTGAAGTGCTGGGCTGCCATGGCCCCACGCAGGGATCGGCCATGGGGATGCAGTGGTACCGCTCGCGGGCAGCGTAGCAGGTGCAGGTGCACCAGGGACAGGGCACGACCTGTCCCCACTTGGACTCACCCTGTGCTGCCCTGGCCACAGTCATGAGCTTGAGTGAAGCCCCTGGCCTGGGTTACCGATGCCCAGAGGCCGGGAGGAACTGGTGGTGCAGACAGGGCTGCAGCTCGGCTCTGCTGCTGCTCACCCAGTTCCTGCTCCTGTTCCAGACGCTGTTCTCCTCCAGCTCTGGGTCCTTAACTGAAGGGCCCTCCAGGCTGCCTGTGCCTTGGGCAGATGCCCAACCCAGGGCTCCCCTGCACTTCCCCAGAGCAGCCATGGTAGCTCTGCCTGGCTGCCATCTCATCCCATGGCTCCCATCATCCTTGCAGTCTCCCACAGCCCCAGGGATGAGGACGGACCATCTGGCAGCACTGGATGGGCAAGTGGCTGGTGGGGAATGAACCATTGGCAAATGCACCCAGTGCTCCGGGACTTGGGGGTGCCGGGGCTGTGCAACCCCAGAACCCCTTGGCATGTCCAGGATACCCTGCCCAGAGCATGTCTTGTGGGGCAGGACACTTCATGGTGCCTGCCAGTCTCGAGCCAGGGCTGGTTTGGTCGGGCCCAGCTCGCCCACCCAACGTGGCTGTCCTGCTCACCTCACCGTTTGCCAACTCTGCCAGTGCCCATCTCCTCCACAGCCTCCCGTAGGAGGGTGAGACCTGCCCTGTCCCTGGTGATGTGCCCTTGCTGCTGGCAGAGTCTGCAGAGGCAGCCCCAGCCCCGGGTTGGAGCATCCTGCAAACCTGCATGGGCCAGGGGTGCCTGGGGCTGGGACATGATCCCTGCCTGAGTCACGAGCTGGTGTCTGCTCTGGCGGGGTCCGTCTCCAGGTAATTTAACCCCACAGTCAACAATGTGGCACGGTGGCGTGGCAGTAAATCAGTAACTGTTTGCCTTTGCCTGTGGTCCCCTCCCTGCCTGGGTGTTTATGCAGGAACAGGAGCCGGCAGGGACGGCTCAGCCGCCTGCCCCACCACTGTGCCGCGTGTCACCACAGCGGGAGCAACACGAGGGGATAGGCAGAGGCCTGGAGCAGCAAGGAGATCAGCAGGGCAGTCTTTGTCCCTGTGCCCTCCAGGATGGGGACCTGCCAGGCAACTGCCAGGACCTGGCCATGCTCAGGCTGACTGGGATGCTCCCACTCTGGGTCCCAGTGGTAACACTGTTTAGCGAGCTGGGCTGGGCTGACTTTGGGATGCCACGAATGAAGGCAACTGTGTTGCAGCCCAGTGGTCCCAGCACCAGGGCTGGGACACGGTGCTGTGGTGGTGGGGCAGGATAGGGGTGGTAACGGCTGCGAGGTGGGAGTGCTGCCCACCGGAATGGAAGCTCTGTCCTTGCATGATGATATGCAGGAACAGAGCCCTACCTGGACCCAGCAGCAGCTTCCCTGGAGCAGCAGCACTGCTGCCATTCCCACACTGCACACCCAAGGTCACCGTTCCCACTGTCAGGGAGGGGCTGCCCTGGTGTCCCGCCGTGGCTGGGCTGCGGTTCCCATGCCAGTGTTGTCCTTGAGGGTCATTGCCCTGGTCTGACCCTGTGACGGCTTTGCCCCAGTGCAGGGTGACCTCAGTGTGGGGTGACCTTGGTGCTGGCAGTGAGCAGCTGGCACTGTGAGGGTGTGAGAGTGGATGCCAGCAGTGGGGCTGCACCAGACCAGCTCGACAGGAGCAGACGGGAGCCCAGAAATGGGCTCATGGCAGGAGATGAGGGGGAAACCGCAGAGGAAGATGAGAGCTGTGGGGAGCAGTGTGGGTGCCAGTGGATTTGCCCACGGTTGTGCCTCAGTCCCAGGGTGCCTGGCTGGCTGTTGAGGGGATGATCCAGCTGGAGCTGCCCCCAGCCAGCCTGAGCAGCTGGAGTGAGCATGCTGGTGACAGGGCCAGTGGCTCCAGCCCACGCAGTCAGCATCACCTTCCGGGAGACAGGAATGCTTTGGCTCCTGTCCCCAGTGCGCGGCATTCAGGATATTGCCGTCCCCACCTTGGCTCTGCCAGGTGCTTCCTCAGAACAGGCTGAGGACAGCTTTGGGAACGCAGGGGTCTGCCAGCATGGCTGCGGGTAACTGTCCCCGTGGCGAGAGGAGGATCCTGGCTGAGAACATGGTCTCAGCAGACCTGAGCGTGACCCCAGAGGCTCTTCCCTGCCACATCCCTGGGGAGCTGTGCCCACTAGCGCTAACCCTGGTCATGCTGGCTGCGCCCGAGCCTCGCGGGTGACTGTGACTCCTGCATGGCAGCAGGGAAGGTGCCGGAGTCACGTCTCCTGACTGCTGAGGGAATGCAGTCAATGATTAAAAGGGGCACCTGAGCAGGGACCCAGCTTCCTGCTGCTGGCACAGAGCAGGGGCAGCAAGTACAGGGATAGAGAGGGACACCCCATCCTCTGGAGATGCTGGGCCCCTCAGCTAGCAGTGCAGGGTCCCCACACCACGGGCATGGGCTGCCGCATGGGGGATCTGGCCCCTCGGGTCCAGTTGTGTATCTGCCAGCAGCCGAGGTCTCCCACCACACTGGCACATCCTGCCACCACTGAGCCCCCCGCTGCCCACACTGCCCACACGGCGCAGACCTCAGTGGCCCTGCTCCGAGGCACAGCCGCAGCCTCAGTGGTGCTTGGGTGCTCTGGAGCTGGGGAAGTGCCTGGCTCTGTGCTGGTGGGAGTGTTCCTACCTGCTTGTTTCACTGGCACCCTGGCCCCAGCCAGCTCTGCAGCACTCCCAGAGCCAGTGGGAGCGGCCACCCCGAGACGCCCAGCACTCACCTTTGACCCCAGAAGGAGCCGCCTGCAGATGGGCACACAGGGCCAGGATGCCCACGAGCAAAACGACCACGGTCTTCATGGCAGTGCCACAGGTACGGATGGGCAGCGCCACAGGTACGGATGGGCAGCGCAGGTTGGTGGGGGTTTATATCCGCGTGGGGCTGGGGAGGGGCCACCCACAACCTGCGTGTGCCGAAACTCTTTCTGCCGCTGCGTGTCACAGCTGTGCCCGAGGCGGTGACGGCCACGCGACGTTCCTGCCTGAGAAATGATTTACCTGGCCCTGTCCAGCCCTGGCAACCAGGCTGCAGCTGGGGGGAGGACGGCACCCTCAGCACCCCCATGGGGAAAGGGAGATGTGGCCGTGGGCTGGGGTCACTCCATAGCCAAAGGGAGCCCAGAACTGCCCAGGTGTGACGAGCGATTAGATGGGTTTGTGGGATGGGAACCCATGGTGGAGGACTGGTCAGAAGGATGTTCTCTGGGGGCTGCTGTCCTGGCAGTGTGCCAGGGGGGTGTCCTGGCACAGAGCACCTGGGGGTCTGTCCCTGGCTGTGCCCATCCTGGGGACCTGGTGCTTGCCTGCCCCAGTCCCGGCCTGGTGCCCGCATCCTGCCATGTCTGCCTGTGGAGCCGCAGGGGACAGCTATCTGGGTCCCCGAGGGCAAACATGGCCTCAGGGGGAGCAGAGCGTGGGAAGCCTCCACAATGTGCTGGGCACACCCATTGCCCTTCACCGAGCACCATTCCTCCGTGGGGACAGGCCGATGGCTGGGTGCCGGCACGTCCCTGGCTGCAGATGTGTCCCAGCAGAGGGGTGCTGTGGAGGGGTCAGCACTGGGGCTGTCTCTCACCTCACTTTGCCCCAGGACTGGTGGGAGGCGACCCTGGGATGCCCAAGGTCAGCGGTGCAGGGAGGTCACAGGGAGCCCAGCACAGCTGAGAGTGTGAAGGGTGACCATGTCGAGGGTGAGGTGCACTCCCTACTCCCAGGGACCCCATGGTGATGCCACTGCTGTGCCCTGAGACCCTGCCAAACATGACCTTTGCTTCCTGCACCCCATCCCATGCAGGCAGGGGCACGGCCCAGGGGTTGCTCCATGCTCCTCTCACTATTGAACCATGGCCACACTGGCGCAGCTCTCTGTGCCTTGCCAAACAGCAAAGGGCACCCGCAGGTGCTGCTGGCAGGTTGGGCAGAGGCAGCCTGGCTTAGGGGGCACGGCAGGGGACTGGTGGGGCTGCAGCAAGGCACAGTGGGCAGCCGGGGCTCATGTGGGTGGAGAGAGGAAGGACCAGAGTTTTTGAGGGCTGGTGAAAAGACTTGTCCTGTTCTGGAGCTGGAGTTGGAGAACAGCCTCGGTCAGGGTCCTGGTATGCTGAGGGGCACCAGGGACACTCCCTGCCTGGGGGGTTGGGACAAGGCCAGCCTGGCTGGACACAGGCATCTGTGCTGAGGCCAACGTGACCTCTGTGGCCTCATCTAGGGTTTTACAGCTCAACGACCCTATTTCCCCCCTTAGAAATTCCTGTGTGCGTCATCCCAGCCAAATGCATTTGTTGCTGCCAGAACTCTGGGTCTGAAGCAAAGGGAACCATGAGCAGGAACTAGGGGCTTTGAGAGCAGCCTGGTCACGTGCATGGGGTTTCTTTGGGTGACACCTTTTCCCCGATGTGACCTGTGCTGCAGTGCCGTGGTGACAATGTGAGGGGTCACCAGCTTCTCCCGAGCAGCCTTGGCCCTTCAGCTGGTGCTGGCGACTCTGTTATCTGTAGGGTTTCGGTCTCCTGCTCTTCCTCCTCCGGCTGCTGTGTGACTGATGTGTGTCACGGCGTGGAGTGGCACAAACGATGGCGTGTGCCAGTTCTGCGGCACGTGGCGGTGTGAGCCTGGCGTGCCCTTCTGCCACGGGGATGTGAGGAATGGACCCCCTGGCTTGAGCAGCCCCCTCCCCACTCGTAGCCCCCGACACGTCCCGTCCACCCCCGCCGTGTCTCCGCTCCGGGGGCCGGTCCCGTCCCGGCCCCAGCGCCGATCCCGGGCGGCGGCCGGCAGAGGAGGCTGTTGCTCCGCCGGAGCGGAGCGGGAGCAGGGCCGGGAGCGGGGCCGGGCTCCGGCAGCAGAGCCCCGTTCCCGTCCCCGGGTAGGGCACCGGCCGGGCCGGGACCCCGACAGGGACCCAGCGTAAGAAGGATGTGGAGCTTCTGGAGCGGGTCCAGAGGAGGCCACAGAGACGCTCCAAGGGCTCGAGCACCTCTGCTCTAGAAACAGGCTGGGAGAGCTGGAGGTGTTCAGCTTGGGAAAGACGAGGCTCCGGGGAGACCTTAGAGCCCCTTGCAGTGCCTAAAGGGGCTCCAAGAGAGCTGGAGAGGGACTGGGGACAAGGGCCTGGGGGGCCAGGACAAGAGGGGAATGGCTTCAAACTAAGATAGGGCTGGGTTAGATTAGAGATTAGGAAGGAATTCTGCCCTTCGAGGGCAGTGAGGAACTGGAACAGGCTGTCCAGGGAAGCTCTGGCTGCCCCATCCCTGGAAGCGTTCAAGGCCAGGTTGAATGGGGCTTGGAGCAACCTCATGGTTGTACTGGAAGGCGTCCCTGCCCTTGCATTCCACAACACACATCCGTGTGGGTTAGGCAGGGGGTGGCACCCCTTCCCCAGCACCCCATCCCCAGCGCTGGTGGGATTGTGACATCCACGATGAGGCCGAGACGAAGCGCGGGGGCCCGGGCTGGGATGGTGCTGGCTGCTCACAGCTCCGTGTCACGCCCGGTGCCCGGCTGGTGGCACGGCCACGCACAGCGCCTGGCTGGCGGCGCAGCACGGCGGCCTCCCAAAATGGGGTTTTTATTACAGCCATACATCACGGCGGCGGCCTGATGCGGGCAGACGGCGGTGATTTTTCTTCATGGTTTACAGACAAATGAGGGGAAGGAAAATTGATGTGAACTTTGCTATAGCGAGAGGTCGGGCGCGGGCAGGGAGCTGGTTATGGATGAGCCAGGGACTGCCAGGGCCCCCCTGCTCCAGGCTGGAGGGATGGGAGCACTGGCAGCAGCAGGGCTGGGAGCGTCGTGTCCAGCATGGAGACCATGCTCCAGGGAGTTGGAAGGGCAGGGGTTCCCATCCCTGTAGGAGGGATGCCTGGAGGGATGCTTTGCTGCTTGGGGAGGAGGGAGCCCACGTGGGCAGGGTTATGCATTCCAGCACAGTTTGGCCTTGCAGTGACGGGCGGGCTTCTGTCGCCGGCTGCTGGTGAGACCTTGGCTGCTCTCACCACAATTAAAGTTGCCTCCGAATGCCACGGTCCTGCCCAGTGTAAGATAACAGCTAATATCCTCCAATAGCAGCTATCAGCTTCTCCATACGGCCCATAAATATTAATACAATTCTAATTAGTTTCTTTAAATACATTGCCTAAATTAAGCGTTTCCAGGGCAATAAATCAGCGGTGGGTTGGCTGCTCACCCTGCTCACGCCCATTGCACGGATCACCAGCGACTGATAAACCCCATAACCCCTCCCCTTAGATCCAAGGAGGAGAGGGACCCAGGCGCAGTGCATGAGCAGGGAACGCCCTCTGACCCTCATCAGCAGTAATTCTTTAATGTATTTTCCCAGGTGTGCCTGGTTTGCATTCCCAGTGATTTGCTCAATACTAGGGCTGCCTGTGCCTCACCCTGGCAGCCAGTGCCTCTGGATTGATGTCCTTGTGCTGGCAAGCTCCTCTGGAAGCTCTGCTCCAGCTTCAGCAGTGCCACATGTTTCCTAGCACTGAGCAACCCCTGACCCACAAGGCAGGAGGGCCGGGGCCTGGGGGGCTGCAGGAGTGCTGGGGGCAGCCAGAGGCTGGCATGTGCATGAGCCCAGGTGAGCCCACTGCTGCCTCCCAGGAGCCTCTGGCCTTCATCCCCACCTCTGATTCTTCCTTTTCCTTCTCCAGGGAGGTGGCAGCACTGAGGATCCTGCTCAGATCTGGCTGAGGATCCTGAGCCAGAGGAGATAGGATCCCTTCAAAGGTGCTGTATGTGAGGGGTGAGTGTGTGCACAGGGTGACATTGCACGTGGGGGTGTGCAGGGGGATGGAGCATGGGCTGGAGTGGCACGTCTGCGGGGGTGACAGTGTCCATCCTTCTGGTGCTCTGGCTTTGGCGGTCCTGGAAAAGAACAAACAACAAACTCATTTGCTTGAGGGGGAATTAATACAGTGTGAAGCCTGTAGTGGGTGATTTAAGAAGTGAATTTAAAACCTCAACACAAATAGATTTTTTTTTATAAGGTCAGAGGAAAGATTAAATGCTACAGACAAGCACAGCACTTGCCATTTCCAGCATTGCTTTCACCATAAATATTTTGGGCTGGTGCCACATCCCTGCGCTGCCCACGTGGGTCTGAGCCTGCTCACTGTGGCAGTGCTGGGTGAGCACCCCGAGGAGGGCAGGATGCCTCACCATCCCCTTCCTCACCAGATTGCTGCTGGCACACGGGAGCAGCCAGTGATGCTCCACAGTGAGAGGGAGGAGAGGTGATGTGTGGGGTTATACTGCTGGTGGCACCAGAGAAACCACCTGTAACTGCCCCAGCTCTGGCAGGATATGTCCCCAGACCCCTCCGGTGCTCCTGCCAGCCTGTGATGGGGCTGGTGGTGCGGGGGGAGCCCAAGCTGTGGTGCCCACCTGGCACAGCATGCACCCACTGCCAGCTCCCAGCTCCTCCTCCTGGTGCCTGGCAGGTTCTAGGATTGATGGCAAGAGATTTGAAAGGCTCCAAATGCGGAGGTTACAGCGCTGAGCCACCCCCATCCATCACCGGCCGTTCATTACCAAGTAACACCCTGCACACTGGGCTGATTTCACACCTTATCTGAACCCAGCAGCTGTGCCCTAAATCCTGAGTGCCGAGACTGTCTGGAGGAATTCGGCTGCCTGTGCTTAAAATTAGTGTTAGCATCTATCATTTCCCTACACCAAATGGCTTTTGTGTCGGCACT